GCCTTAAGTCATAGGAAAATATCATTAGCAATAAAGAAAAGAGTACTGAACTGCTACATAATATCTAATCTCATATAAGGCAGTGAATGATAGTTAATTTCTTTAAGATGAAGAAGAGACTTGAAACAACAGAAATGTGGTTCTACAGAAGGACGCTGAAGATGCTATGAACCGAACATGTGGGCAATGAGAAAGTCTTAATGAAAATAGGAGCTACAAGAAAACCTATACAGTTAAATTCTCAGATCAAGACAAATTGGTATAAAAAGACAATTGGAAAAAATCTTAGATTTTGCCGACATGTTTCGTCTTCCGGCTTTTTCAAGGCAAAAATGAAATCGAAATGTCTTTGTTGTTATAGTTACATTAAAAAATCCAAATTTAAAAAGATAGACGCTTCTGTCTAAGCCTTTTTCTGGTTAATGTCATTTTATACCAAGAAAACCTATACTTACAATCGAAAAGAGACAGATGAGTAAATGTCTACAGCAATGGTTCCCAACCAATTTTGGGCCATGCCCCACTTTAGTATTTCCAAAATTCTGGTGCCCCCCCCTAAATATTCAAAATCTTACTGCAATTCATTAACTTGGTCTCTAAACAAGCCTCCAAAGACCATGGCGACCATGAAAGAGAAAAGTTAAAAAAAGAACAAAAAGACAGTTAAATATATATATATATATATATATATATATATATATATATAAAAAGACAGTTAAATATATATATATATATACATATATATATATAGTTTCAAAACATATAATAGAGAAATGAAATAATAATGCAAAATGAAATTTGAGCTCATGTTGGTATAGTAAGCTGAAGGGTGCACATCCTACGCAGGCTCCACCAAAATATTACCTTGCCCCACCGGTGGGGAATGTGTCCCCTGTTGGGAATCATTGGCCTAGAGAATTGAACACTCACAGGACATATGATGAGGAAAGAGGGTTTAGATAATTGAATACTCACAGGGCATACAATGAGGAAAGAGGGTTGAGAGAATTAAACATTCACAGGGCATACAATGAGGAAAGAGGGTCGAAAGAATTAAACACTCACAAGACATACAATGAAAAAAGATGGCTGAGAGAATTAAACAAAAAAAAAGAGTCTAGAGAATTAAACATTCACAGGGCATACAATGAGGAAAGAGGGTCAAGAGAATTAAACACTCACAAGACATACAATGAAGAAAGAGGGCTGAGAGAATTAAACACTCACAGGACATACAATGAGAAAGAGGGCCTAGAGAATTAAACACTCATTGGCGATACAATGAGAAAGAGGGCCTAGAGAATTAAACACTCATTGGCGATACAATGAGAAAGAGGGCCTAGAGAATTAAACACTCATTGGAGATACAATGAGGAGAGAGGCTCTAGAGAATTGAACACTCACAAGGTATACTGAAGGTGGGAGAAGCTGGGGAAACATTGAGTAACCTACTTGACTTTTTGTGAATAGATGGCAGAACAGAGACAAGGAAATAATAACAAAAGTTGTGGAGAGCCATGATCATCTATGTTAGAAATCAAATTGCAGCCATCATCATATGACAGTGAAGACTGGACATTTTCCCCACAGTTGAAGAAGTGACAGAGAGAAACGTGATTCTATCAAAAAATGCTGAGAACAGAAATTGATAAAGTCTGTAGTTGAATAAAATGTAATGGAAACTATGAGAGATTAAGTATTGTATTATCTTTACTCAGTACAACAATAATATCATTACATAGTTGGATACCCTTCAACCATTCTCTGGTATGTATCATATTGTGGATGTTGTATAAAATCTGACTCCTTGGGGTTGGCAAACATGTGCATCTCTTTCTCATACAGGTTGCATCAAGTTTTTGTATTAATGTCTTCTCTGTTTCTTGACCTTTTTATGGTTCACATTTTTTCAAAATTTCAAAGTTTTCCTTTTACCCCTTGATCATAAGACTAAATATTAAATTTTAAAAAAGTCAAAATTGGCAAATTTAACATTAAAACATGTAAATAAGAAAATATTAAAATTCATCAGATGTCAGAATGAAATGTCTTCATCAATATTATTATTACTCAGTCAGTTATGTGCCATGCGTGATACATGCTTAGGTAATCATGTATCTTTCAATACATGAGTGATGAGGCAGATTTTTTCCCTGTAGTAGGTTGCCATTTCTTTCTATGGTAGACCAGTTGCATCCAAGGCTATAGAACCCAGTCTATCTTCCCAGTTACCCATAGCTATGGGGAGAAGGTGCGAATTCATACATTTCCCAAGGGTATTAGCACATAAGTGAATGTAATGGATCTGAATGGATTTCGAACTTGGCTCTCCAATTCCTCAATCCAAGCTGCTATCCATTGCTCCAATGTGCCTCCTCCTAACAATAACTGAGAAGTACTAAATAAATCCAAAACAAAACTTTTACTAGACACAGTGTAAGAAGAATGATCTACCCCTGTAGACTGAAGGTTACCAAAAGCAACAGGTGGTTGAAGAAGT